TTTCATTGTTCTTTTGTTGTTTGTTTGATTTTTGACTAAGGGGTTTGTGGGTTGTAAGCGTCGCGGCAGTGGAAGAGTTAGGGTTGGGAGAGAGTGAAAGGGAGGGTTTGTGTCATTACGCGAGAGAGAGAGAGAGAGAGAGTAAAATGAAGGTTGTAACAAGAACAATAATGAAATAGTGAAAAAAATGTAATTAGTTGCAATCTGATGCACGCACGTACATGATAACAATTGTGCTCCATTTAAATCCATCTGTGTGATCTCGATCGGATGGCCGTAGGCCAAGTCCCTACCGTACTCCCATACTCCCTCGTACACCCAATCTCCCAGACTTCCTCTCCAACTACGTAGTGGGCCTAGGCCCAGTGCTTTCTACACCACCCTTCGCCCTAATTACTAAAACGCAAAACACCATGCACCCCCTTTCGTCTGAATTCATGTTTGGGCTTAACTCAGACTGTTTTCCACACCCCCTATTTTTACTACATAACTAATAATACACCCCTTTTGCCTAATTAATTTATTTGCTAATTTTTCTATAATTCATATTTTTTTTCATATTCTTTATATTATTTATTTCTTTTATAATAATAATAATAATTAATATAATTATTATTATTACATAATTATTGTTTAATATTTTTTGTGAACATTAAGTATTATCATTTAAAGTTATTTTATTCAAAAACTCATTCATATATATTTTCTTATATTATTTGCATTAAATGTTTTTTAATCATACATTAATAAGATATTTTGCAATTAATACGAAAAAATATTAATCAATCTCAAATAATTTTTCGCAATAAACTAATCTAAACAACTGCTTTTTTGCAAAAGGGTTTCAAACGGATTTTGACTAATCGCGCATTTAGTCAAAATCTCCGCAATCACTACAACCAGTCAAAATGCGAGGTGATTCAAAATACATTTACAACCCCTGAAAAAACACCAACCCCATACGAACTACGAATTTGGACTCTGATTCCTCATAAGAGGATACGTAGGCATACAATCAAAAGTCGTGGCGATTCCTCCCTATTAAGATTTAAAACCCTACTTTACTCAAACCTAAACCTAAAACCTATTATCCTTGTGAACAAGGTAGACGAAAGGTGTCTAACACCTTCCTTTCTTCTAATGAAGTCCGAAACCTAGAATCTCTGTCTGCGAATTAGGGTTTCCTATTAGATTCTCTTTCCTACGATAAAAACTGATAGTGGCGACTCTTGATTTAAAAACCAGTCGCAACAATGATTACATTCGAAAACTGTGGACTTACCTGATCAAGAAGAAAAGTAAAGTGATCGAGGTATTTTCGAAGTTTAAGTTTATGGTCGAAAGCTCAAAGTTTTGAAAATTAATGGTGGTAGAGAGTATGTATCGAAAGACTTCGACAAGTTATGTGAAAAATAATGGATTGTGTATGAGGTGGTGCCACCCTACACTCCACAGCAAAATAGAACTGCAGAAAGAAAGAATCAAACCATCATGAATATGGTGAGAAGTATGTTGAAAGGCAATAATTTATCTAAAAAGTTTTGGGGTGAAGCTGTGTCGACTGTAACATACATTTTGAACATATGTCCTATGAAGAAGCTAAAAGGAATTACTCCAGAAGAATGTTGGTCTAGTGTGAAACCTAGCTTGAGTCATCTGAAGGTATTTGGATCTATTTCACATAGATATGTGTCAGATCAGTTGAGAAGAAAACTTGATGACAAGTCGAGTCAAATAATTCTAGTAGGATATCATTTGACAGGAGGTTACAAGTTGTTCGACCTAGTGAATAAGCAGATTGTGATCAACAAGGACGTGATCATAGATGAGCTTAAATAATGAGATTGGACTAAAAATGTCAAGAAAGATTCAGTGAGAATCTTACTTGAAGAACCAAAAGCTCAAGTCGAAAGAGAAGTTCGACAAGAGGAACCAGTAGTTATAGATCAACCAAGTACAAGCAGACCTCAAAGAACAAGACGCATGCATGTAAGGTTTCAAGAATGTGTGATTACATCAGATGATGTGATTGATAACGAAGGTGAGCTGGTACATTATGCTTTCCATGCAGATGTTAAACCAGTCAATGCAGCTGAAGCATTGAAGGATTCGAAGTGGGTGAAAGCAATGGACAAGGAAGCTAAGTCCATCGAAGACAACAATACTTGGTCACTTGTCGAATTGCCTCAAGGAAAGAAGGAAGTTGATGTCAAGTGAGTATACAAAGTGAAGATGAATCCCAAAGGGGAAGTAACTCGACACAAAGCGAGGCTCATGGCAAAAGGATTTCTACATAAAGAAGGAATATACTTCGATGAAGTTTTTGCACCTGTTGCTAGGATCAAAACAATTAGGTTGGTTATTGGTCTAGCAGAAATAAATAGTTGGCACATATGTCAGATGGACGTGAAGTGTGCATTCCTGAATGGATCCTTAGATGGAGAAGTTTATGTTAAACAACCAGTTGGGTTTGTGAAACATGACGAAGAGAGAAAGGTGTACAGGCTGCATAAAGCCCTGTATGGATTGAAACAAGCTCCAAGAGCTTGGAATAAGAAGATTGATAGTTTTCTAAGGGAAAAAGATTTTGTAAAATGCACAAATGAACATGGAGTATATGTAAGAAGAAGCAATAGTGAATTTTTTATATCATGTCTATATGTTGATGACTTGTTTATAACAGGTAGTTGCAAGAAGGAGATCAAAGACTTCACATGTGATCTCAGCAAGGAAATCGAAATGCTGGATCTGGGTGACATTTTATACTTCCTTGGTATCGAATTCTACAAGAGTAGTAGAGGTCTGATGATGCATCAAAGAGGATATGCTGGAGAAATTTTTAAGAGATTTGAGATGGAAGAATACAACTCGACTTCGACACCTGTAGAATCCAAACTGCAACTGTCAAAAGATTTAAAAGAAGATGATGTCGACCCAACCTAATACAGAAGACTTATTGGATCATTAAGATACATTTGTCATACAAGGCCTGACTTAGCATACATTGTAAGTATGGTAAGTAGATTCATGCAGAAGTCAAAGGTATCACATCTAGCAGCGGTGAAGAGGATACTAAGTTATCTCAAAAGAACTCTCGACTATGACATTTTATTTCATTCAGTTGATAAAGAAAAAGAATGCAAGTTAGTGGGATACACTTATTCAAGTTGGTGTAGTGATGTTGAGGATCAAAAATCCACTGCAAGATATGTGTTTATGCTAGATGGTGCACCAATTATTTGGAGTTCAAGAAAGGAACCAGTAGTGGCATTTTCATCATGCGAAGCAGGATACATAGCTGCTTCTCTTTGTGCATGTCAAGCAACTTAGATGGTGAACTTGGTCGAAGAGATAACAGGGAAAGATCATGGAGCAATTACCATGAAGATCAACATCATGTCGGCTATCAATCGGGAAAAGAATCTGGTAGCTCATGGTCTAAGCAAGCACATTAAAATGAGGTTCCACTATCTACGAGAGCAGGTAGCAAATGGAAAGATGAACTTGGAACACTGCAGAACTGAGAATCCGACTGCAAACATTATGACGGAGGGTGTGCAAGTCAAAGTATTTCAAAGACTAAGAGCTATGATGAATGTAGATAGCTTAGACAAAATATATTAAGTGGTTTGTTGAAAGTAATTCCTTGTGTCGAAGCAGTTTGCTCGATAGAAACAAGATTGATAGAAATTCATCATAAATTTTGATGGATTTCCAACATAAGTGGCCTTCACCTATTTTAGAGGATCATTGAATTGATCTAACGATCTTGGTTAGATAACCAATAACAAGTTATCCACACTCTTATATCTGGTATTGTGGTGTTAAACAAATTGAGTTTCAATCTAGATTAGAACAAATCAACAATTCAGTAACTTAGGTTTAGTTTTTTTTTTTTTTAGATTTTTCTATTTTCATATTGTTGGGTTGTTTTTCTTATTTGCTAATGAAATTTTATTATATTTGAAACCTCTCGTGTTGAATGTTGAGTTGTATTTTGGTTTTATTTTAAATGTTGAATGTTAGGTTGTTTAATGTTGATTTCTTATTGATTTGTGGAATGTTGATTTTTTTTTTTATCTATTATGTTGTTGATTTATTTATTACTCCATTTTGCTGTTAATTTATTGTTGATTTCTTGAAGATTAAAAAAATTGATTTTTTCTTCGGGAGAAAAATTTGTGAAAATGAAAAAGATGAAGAAATGATATTTTCTACATTTGAATTCGTTAAAGTTTCAAGAAATGAAGAATCAAGATGACTTTTTGAATTCTTTGACTTTGCTAACTCGAAGTTGCGTTTGGCCTCATAAGAATAGTTATAACGTTTTTATATTTATAGTATTTGCGCTCTAGTTAATAAATATCATCCCATGAATTTTAATGAACAAGAAAAGATTAATTTGTAACTTTAACTTCAGAACTTTGTTGTTGATAAACCATTGTCTTATCATATTTAAGATTTTTTATAGCTAACTCATATATATATATATATATATATATATATATATATATATATATATATATATATATATATATATATATATATATATATATATATATATATATATGCGCATCAACTATTCATCTTAATTAAAGAAAAGTTTCTTCTAGTTTTCATCTCTCGACAAGCAAGAGATGATTTTTAGTAATGAAAATTATATATATAAAAAAAACTAAATTGAAAAACAAGATGGAAACTGAGTTTCTAGCTGCAATAGCTTGACAATTCATATTGAAAGAAAAATAAATTAATATTAATTTTAAGTCTAGTATTGATGATTTGAAATCACTCAAATAACATAGAACATTACATTAATTTTTTTTTCTTCAAGTTGTGTTTGAATGAGAAATAAATCATTTTCTAGGAAAAAGATAAATTTACATTTGAGGGAAAGCTCCACAATGGCCCAAATCATGAAAAGAAGTGACTCCATGCAATCATGAAAAGATTAAGATGCACACTGCAACATCATCATCTCAATCCTGACTTGAAAAAACTCACTTCTCAGCATCAGTTTGAGGGTTCCTCTGAGCAAGAATTTTCTTTGTCTTCTCAAGAACACCAAAAAATATTGAACCACCTATTCCTATCCACAACACTCTTGGCCCAATACCCTGCAAATAGTTTTAGGCTTTTTAGAAAGCTTTATGGTTAAAAGAAAGTTAAGAATGCAAAGTTTCTAAAAATAAGCATAAGCATACCTTAAAAAGAGCATTAGCTCCTTCTTCTTTAACTATTGTCCTTACACAATCACATATGCCTTTGTAATGTTTTTGGGTTCCCTGAACCATCAATCTGGTTTTTATTACATCAAGTGGAGTTGTAACTGCTCCAGTTATTGCAGCTGTAAGGTATTCAATTTATCATTCTCAGTTCCAACAAAAGCTGGGAATTATATTAAGATGAGTGAAAAGAATATACAGAAAAAAGGCGAGTTGAAGCTAAATTTGGCAGTAACGATGCTGAATATAAATTAATAGCCTGTTTGTCAATGCTAATTCAGCAGCACAAGATTGCCATGAATTTGAAGAACAGTAACATATAAATACAGCTGAGGCACAGAAATTGATACTGTGTTTGAGATTGTGTTGAATACAAATGCTGCATTTTACTTTGGCTTTAAAAGCACTTTGAATGAAAGGAACAGTGTCATTCCTTTCGCTGCATGCTGGTTTTCTTAAAGAAATCTTATGTACACATATTATAAGGAATTTTAAAATACTTCACTAGAAAATTTATAATCGTTCTGAGGTAGAAGTACCAGCAAAAGCACCAATCATAGCATTCTCTGGATCATTCAGATCTCTTTTTGCCTACAAAAAACAAGAAGTTCAGAAACTATTGAGCACTTCTACGAGATTCTATTGGTGGATAGAAACACAAATAGAAGTGAGCAGAAAACAGAAGAGAAGCATCAAAATAATATTATCCATAAAAAGTTTAGGTACAAAGAGACCTCTTAAGGAGTAAGAACTTTGATGCAACCATGCCACAAACAATCTTAAAGATGTGAAAATTGTGTCTTTAAGGGCGTGAGCGTTTATATTCTCACCACCCAAACTACAATTTTACATGAAACAAAAGCTTCTCATTTTATAGATAGTTTGAAATTGAGGCTACCTTCACAAAAATACATAAAGAATAATAGACACTTCAAAGTTAAGCTTACCGCTACTTTATACCCGATGCGGAGCTGTTCGTAGATGCATAATTCTAAAGCATCAAATGGTAAATCTCGCAATAAGAAAGATCTATATCCCTACAATCACTCAAAAACAGAAGAACAGGTCAAAGTTAGGTAAAATAACAACCCAAGTCAGCATATATATAAAATACTCAAGTAGAAATTAAAATGGCAGTAAGAAACTAAGTAAATGCATTATCATTATCCTACAACCGGCATACAGCATCATATCTCATCTTTCTTATATAAACCAAATGTGAACGTTCTTTCCACCAGCAAGGGAAATTGAAAAAGTATTATCTACTAGAGCAATATTTTAAAGCAGAAATTATCATATGCTACCTAAAAATTAAAGAACAACAAATTAAAAGGTCATCAATGACATGAAATTAATACATACCGCATAAAGACCTTTAAAACCCTCATTAGCAATGATAAGACGGAGAGCGGATGAGGTTGATTTGAACTGACCGGTTTGTATCCTTTGCTTAATAACCTAGAAAGTCGGAAAATCAATTTCAATCTCAAGGAAGCAGAAAATAATTGGCAATGTCAAAAGTAAAATTACTTGCCTCAGTTGGAACACGAACAAGAGAAGAAGCGGCTCCTCCAATAGTACCTGCAGCCTGTACTCAGATTAGGAATATTATCATAAGCACACAGTTCTGTGTGCTAATCATTTAAGACAAGCTTGGTCGTTTGTAAGTTTCTTATGTTTTATTTGTATGTATTGTTTACACTTTACATTGACTTTAAATTTTGTTTGCTTACAAGAACTAAAAGTAGTGCACTTCATGCCAAATGAGCAACAGAATTTTATACATAATTTCTATCACAAATATGTAAAGGTAGATATCAAACTAGAAAATCTCCTTTCAAGCCAAGTATAAGCTTGTGCTTGTGAAACTAAATGATTGACTCAAACTATGAAGACTGAGGTATTCAAAAAGTTGTCTACTGTCAGCACGTGCTATAAGCCATTGCCAAATATTACAAAAGATTGAAAACTAATTTTGGTAAAAATTCTTATAAATTTGCTGAATAACTAAAAAATATTGGATATCATGGTAAGTCTATGGTTTTTGAAACAGAAAAGGTGGCCAGTAAAAGAACTATGCTCTTGAGTTTTTGGACACGTTAGGAAAGTTTTGGGTCAATCCTGGTTTGTGTATGCTATGATTTAATTATCTCAACTAATTAATGCTCTGAACACTATCATGTCGATATACAAACATTAAAAGGTGAAATTTGTGTGCGACAAGCCTAGATAATTTGAATAGATTATCAATTTTTTTAATAAGAAAGCCAACTTACAATATGAGCCAGAGCGTTTAGATTCTCAGGGAAGATCTCCAGCAATTTCTGCTTTGCTGGTTCATACACACCAATAAAAATTGCAGAAGCTCTGCCAAGAGAGGAAGAATAGCCAGTTAAACATACATTGCACATACTTAATTCAGTGCGAATATAGAAACCAGCATTTCAGGAAAAATAACATTTGAGCAAACAATGCAATTGGAAACTTGTAAGGTGTGCCCTCCATATAGTACCCTCACAACATATAGACAGAAGTGGTAAACACAAATTTCGGTACTCAAACAGAAGTGGTAAACATAAATTTCGGTACTCAAACAGAAGTGGGAAAATGACTTTTTCAGTCATTTCTTAATAGATAAAACTAGAAAGAAAACATTTCTTAGCTTGAGTTTCAAGACACGTACATTGTAATATCTAATTAGTTTTGATTCAAATATGTTAGTTGTTAGAAAGTAAATTAAGGAAATAAACATAGAACAGGATAAAGAACACTGAAATGAATGCAGCATGAATTGAAAAAGAGGAGGTGTATATGGAAATAAAGCCTACTCACGGTAAGGAACCAGCAAGGTTTACAGCCAATCCAGAATACAAACCTTTGAAATCAATTTTTAGTCCACCACGAGCAACCTGATATAAAATTGAATGAGATATAAAATCAAACGATAGTGCAATTAAAATTAGATATGGGATAATCAAGCCAAAACTTGACAACATACAATGAAAGGAAAAATGTTAGAGGACTTCTACTCTATTAATCTTATCCCTAGGAGTTTGAAATATTGCAAGAAAGCACTATGCATTCCTCACCTAGAAAAAAAATTCAAGTCAAAATGCTATAAAATGAATGTTGACCAACCAACCTAATAGGTTATACACGAGCATTGAGCATAATGTGTATGTCACTAATAAAGAAACAATTATAACATTTATAAAACTTGAACTTAGTTGTGAACCAACACAATAAAGCTGCACCTAAATAGGGAATACATTATTAGTATCTGACAACAGCATTTCAAGACCTATAAACAACACCTGCAGCCTCTTGTTTGACAGGCTTACTTCGTAGTCCCTGCCGTACTCCCAAACCCCACATGCGGGGCATAAACACACACAGAGTAGAATTACAAAATTTCATTCAATACATTGAATTCACCTGTAGCCGTGTTTTGATGGTATCAATGGGGTATAAAGCTGCTTCTACAGCAACACCAGCAAGACCTCCAGCAATGCAACCCTCTACAATTTTCATAAGTATGTCATACAACACAACAATATTCACATAAGAAGCCAGTAGTTATAGCAGACCATACATCATAAAAAGCAATTTATCCATAGAAATAGAAACACCATCGCTCATTTTCATGTGTCAAAAGGCAAAAACGGACCAGAAGTCAGAATAACCAACCATGTTACTAAGTCAGCACACCAGAATAGCAAATTTCAATTTGCTACCTCTAATAACTAACATGATCTTAACTGAAATCGAAAAAAACTTACCATATAAAGCGCGTAAATAATCAAATTGCTTATTCTCTCCATTACTGATAGACATAGACATGAAGAACTTATCTGGATCCTTTTGAGGAGGCATTTTAAATATTAATGCATCTGCAATTCTGAATATACAACACATTTGTTCAACATATGCAAACAAACACACAAGCAGAAATCACTTCAACTAAATTGACACAACAAATTTAGATGAACAGGTAAATTAAATACTATCATATACTCATTTCATGAACTAAATAAACCGAAAACAAGATTTTAGGGTAAAAATGAAGTTGAGTTTTGAAGGAAACTCAAGGCATAATGAATCATAAAAATGCATAAAGTTTGAGCAAAAAAGAAATTGAGTAATGTAGGTAAAGGGATCGTAGAGAGAGTATACCAATTGAATCGAAGTTTTGGAGGTCGTGAAGAATGTGCAAAGATCAAATATTTGAAACAACGTGGTTTTGACAGGGTTTCTCTGGCAGAAAGAAAAAAAAAACTATTCTCCTATAAAAATAAAACTCATTAATTTTTGCAATCAGAGGGACTGAAACCAGTTGTTCTGGAAAAACAAAAAAAATATAACTCATTAATTTTTTTATTTTTTTTATTTAATCTTTTTGTCAAATATTATCTCATTGTTAAATCTGAATTTTTTTTCTTCAAATAATCACTTTTTTCAAAAAAAAATCTCAAATAATCACTTTTTCAAAAAATTTACTAAAATGACCACTTTCAGACAAAATAATTTCGCCACACTGAGGAGTAGCCACTTTGTGTGGCGCATGCATGCATTTTTAAGAGGAGACGCCACATTGCATGGCTTGTCCTCCTCTGTAAAGTCATGTAGCGTGGCGCATGCATGTATTTCCAGAGAGAGGCGCCACCCTCATTGGTTTGATAGTGTTATTGCATAATTTTTTTTAAATAAAATAAAAGTAATTAAAAAAATGTTATATTAATATTTAGTATAACACAACGCATGGATACCTTTTTTTTGGACGTCCCCTCAACTTAAGCGGGTCCCAGTATGACATAAACGGCCGCGCCTTTGCCTCGCCCCTTGTCTCACTCCTCTCTGTTGATTTTTCTGAGGTGTTTGTGGTCTATTCTGACTCGCTTGATTATGAGGTGGTTGATGTGATGGTCCTGGTACATCAGGATCATACATCTCATCGATCATTGCGCCCCACTGCACTGTGCTTCCAAAGAGATCGGTGTCGATGTTGTTGAAGTTTGGTCTTGTTGGTTGGGATATGTGTGGGTGAGGTGGTTGATAGTATTGGGATGTTGAATTGTGATGGGAACGAAGCGACGGTTCTTGTGGTGTATGAAATTCGTATGATGGTTGGGTACTTCGATGGTGTGATATTTGACTGTATGTAGGTTGGATGGTATGGTAGGAAGGAGATGTATCATATGTGTCTTGTGTGTTGTGGTAGGATGAGGATGGTGCATATTATTGATGGTGGGTCAGGTCATGCTCTTGGTATTGTGCTTGTGTGTGGCATGAATTGATGACGGGTTTGGTTGAATGAGGTGGTGTATGATTGTTGGGTTTGAGTGGGTTGACATTGTGGTTGGGTTTGGTATTGTTGAGGGGTTGGTTGTTGGGTTTGGTGTTGTTGAGGGGTTGGTTATTGGGGTTGTTGTTGGGCGTATGTTACAGCTCTTTAGCGTGGATCGATCAAATATGTCTCTTGAGACAAAAACAAATTTGTTGAAACCGATGTGTACCATCTCAAATATTGGAGCATCGGTTTTAAGTCATCTTGCAAGATCGGCTTCCTTAGGACCAATTCACGTCTATGCCTCCATTGACGAAATTGATTTTTAGCAAAGTCTCTCAAATTGTTAAATCCCCATTGATCGTCAACTCTGAGTAGATGCTATTGGCCCAAACATGTTGGGGGGTCGGAGATACCATGTTGCATGCTGAACTGTAGCTTCACACGATCACTGTGGTGCATCTCCACAGTAGTGAACCTGATGAGTGCTGTTTTGCAGTCCAGACTTCAGCATCAGGAGGGTCAATCTCATGGTCGAGATCCTTATACGGCCTCCATACAAACTGTAGGGGAAAAAGTTATATAAAATATTAAACTTAATTAACCTATTGAATGCGTTGTATAAAATATGTAAGTTTAATACCTCTTCGAGTCCAACATGATCAATAAGATTTCGGTAGACTACTATTGCGTTTCTAGGGGATTTGTTGTAATTCATCCCAGGAACAGACCACCTACATAGAAAAAATGGGTAATAAATTAATACAAGGCATGTCTCGGTATATGATATGTAAAATTTATGATTTTGTAATCTTAATTTGTAGCAAAGGAGAAGATGAATGGCCTTGTGTTGCGGGGGAGCGAGTGTCGGCATTCTCGACCAGCACCATGTCTGGAGCAAAAAGGCGCAAGAATAGAAAGAACAACTATCGTTCGATACATTTTTACATAAAGAACTATACAGATGGGCCAAAACAGCAGAACCCCAACTATATGTGTTTATTTTATCAAATTGTCTTAACAAGGGTAAATACATGATATTAACAGTATTACTCGTTGTTTCAGGAAATAAAAAATGGCCAAATAATATCATTATGTAACACCGAGCTTTCACAATTTTTTCTTGCTCGGTAGAGTTTTCGGTTATTACGAGACTACTATGATATTCTCTAAGATGACGGAGATTAATACCTTGGCCACTAGACCCTTGTTCAAATAAAGAGACTCCCAAAAGTTCGTCGCATATGGCGTTGTCTTGGTTGACTCGACCATTGACAGCCTTACCATCGACCGGTAGACAGAATAACATGTACACGTTCTCTAGTGTGACTGTACATTCACCACATGAAAGATGAAAGGTGTGAGTTTCGGGTCTTCATCTCTCCACTAATGCGAGAATAATTTTATAGTCAACATGGTAATTGACTATGTTTAGTAACGGACCAAAACCAACATATCGTAAGTATGATTCAATTTGAACGTCGTAAGGGACATACTCATGGACACGACAACGAAATCTTTTAACGTTCTATTAAAAACATGAATTACGTATAAGAAATACAAGATTTACGTATAACAATCATAAGAATTAAGGGGGGAAAATTTGTCGACAAAAAATAGGTATTAAGGAAAACACACTTACAAAGGTTTCAATATTGTTCAGAGTTCCTCTATGTTGATCACCCATGGTCAAGAGAGACTTTTTTCTTGATTACTCTTGTGTTATTGTTGATATTTCAAGAAAGAAATAGTTTGTGAGTTATGATTGTGATGAACATATATGGTGAATGTTACATGTATTTATAGGAAAATCTTGAAGAATACTTTGCATGCAAGAGATACACATAGGCGCCACACTAGGTGGCACATGCTTTTCCTTAATACACATAGGCGCCATACTAGGTTGTGCATGCTCTCTATGATACACATAGGCTCCATTCAACATGGCTTGTTGCTTTTTGCATGCATGCAAACCTGCAGCGTGGCAGGGATCAGATGGCATGCATGCAATTTTGTTGTACAATGACAAGCCACCCTAGGTGGCGCATGCATGCAAAAATAGGAGGATAAGCTACCCTAGGTGGCGCATGCATGTAAAAATAGGAGGATAAGCCACCCTAGGTGGCGCATGCATGCAAAATATATAGTACATCCCATATTTTCATCAGTCTATTTAATCGTCTGTGTAGGATGCATTACTAGTATACATCCATAACTCACAAAAAACATACCTCGACAACATGGATCATTCATAAAATTATATTGTTGTTGCCCATATTAACGGTGAGACATTCAACTGCGATAACTTAGGTTTTAATTTTCGTATAGCGATTTTATCCGCTTTCGGATGAATAAGAAATCAAGTTTTGCACGCTTCAAAGATAGACTAGAAGTCAAATTGCAGTGTGGTCCAGTTTATCAAATTGTTTACAAGTCCCCATTTCTATTTGAGAACAACCAAGTCAGATTTTATCAACTTAAGGTGTGCGACGATGATGATGTTCGAAACATGTTTTGAACTCATGAACAATCCGGGTTCGATGAGATTGAGTTGTATGTTTTATTACAGCAACCAGATCAATCTCATGTGGTAAATCCTTCTCAAGACTTTGAAGAAGAGGATAAATCTGACGAGGACAACCATCCTGAAGTCGATATTATTGACTAAGAAGAAGAAGATGATGAGGCAATGATTGATTTTATGGTCAATGATGACGCTTCAGATCAAGAGCATGAACATGTACCTGCAAGTCATGCGTACGACCCTCCGTTTCACATGAATAACTTGAACTTGGGGGTAGATGAACCAGCCTCATATCTTTCACAATCCTTATATGCATACCGAAGGGGCCTTGAAAGTTGGAGACTGATTTCGAACAAAAGAAGAGTGTCTTAGAGCTATCAAAAAATACCACATGGAAATTTTTGTTGACTTCACTGTAGATAAAAATAATTCAGGGAGGTACATTATTTTATGTCGCCAAAAACCAATTTTCCCTTTTCGGTTAACTACATCTTACAGGAAGAGGGGTGATTCATGGGAAATAGGTTTCATTGATCCACTCCACACTTGCATCACCACCGTTCTGACACGGGATCATCGGAAACTTAATTCTCAACTAATATGTCAAGAAATCTTGCCTCTTATTAGCAAGGATCCATCATTAAAGGTGAGTACAATTATTTCTCATATCACTACAAGATTCAATTATACTCCCTCTTACAAGAAGGCATGGATCGGGAGGACTAAGGTAGTTGAACTTGTGTACGGTAATTGGGAGGAGTCGCACAAAGAACTTCCAAGATTTTTGGTGGCACTCAAATATTATGCTTCGGGAACTATTATAATTTTGGAGACACTCCCGGAATTTACCCTAGACAGAACTCGTGTTAGTGGAAATGGAATATTTCATCGATTGTTCTGGGCGTTTGAACCATCCATCAAGGTTTTTGAATTTTGCAAACCTATTATAAAGATTGATGGAACTTGGTTATACGGGAAGTATAAAGGAACGTTACTCATGGCAGTGGCACAAGATGGGAACAATAATGTTTTTCCGATTGCCTTCGCTCTAGTTAAAGGTGAGAC